CCCCAACATGGCCTTTAACTGTCTCACTTTCACTCTTCTCTGCTTTCCTCAGCTCCCACCTCCCTCAGGGAGGGAAATCCTGGGAAATGTGGAGCAGTGTAAGGGATTTGCTTGGCCTTCCAGAGGGGAGAGGGTGGAGGGAGCAGCAGGGGCAGCCAAGGGGATGGGGGGACCATCAGCCCTGGGAACAGGCTGGCCAGGCCAGGTGGGATCTCCTTTGGGATCTCCTTCCCTACAACCCATTTCCCTTTCTACTTCCCTCCTGCCACTGAATGCCCTCCTTGAGAGGATGAACAAATGATTTTGCAGCCAGGGCTCAGACAAAGCCCCCTTGGAGCAGGTGAGCTCCAGGTGAGCTGTGGTGACACAGTGACCACAGCAGGGATGGTACTGGCTGGGAGTTGGGGGAGTTGAAAGCAAATATGCCAAGCCAAGCATGGGCCAGACCTTCAGCTGTGCCAAAACCTGACAAGAAAGCCAGGAAAAGCTCTGTTGGCAGTGCCTGCTTCATCTAGAACAGATTAAAGGGTTTCTAATGAGAATCAAATACTATTTCTTTTAATTATCTAATGGGTATTTTGTGGCATTAAATCAGTCCTGAGTATCAGCTCCATCACCTGGATTTACAGCCGTGCCAGCAGTCAGGATCCACCTGGGATGGATCAGAATGGCCCTAAAGCAGCCCTGAAAGATGAGAGAGGGAGAGATGGCACCTCTCCATCCTGTTCACCCTCTCCCCCTATATTAAATCCTTTGGAAAGGCAATTTGTGTTCAATGTAGATATCACTGGGATACAACCCAGAGCCCTCCAAACATTCCTGTATCTTATTGTGTTCCAGGACAACTGCAGGGCCTGGTTATTGAAGAGAAGAGAGAGATGAGATGGGTTGTAGATTCCAGTCCAGTTTAGGGTTGAGTTCCAGTGTCAGCAGTGAGTTCTAAGCCTTCTGGCAGTGGATTGATTGCAAAAAGACACTTTGCAGGGCTGAGCAAGGTCAGTCAGCCACGAAATGGGGTGGTTTCCTGCACTCTGAGTGCTTCTCCCTGAGCACAGTGTGGAGGGCTGGGGGCCAGAGGGTGGGGGAAGCTCTGCAGGCCCTCACAAACCTCCTGTGGGTCTCTGGGGTCACTTGTGCCTTTATTTCCTTCCTCTTGGAGAAGGAGCCAACTGGGAGAGCATAGAATAGGTGTTCCAGCATCTGCTCCACGTGTTCCTCATTCACACCTGTGTTACCTCAGTGCAGTCTCAGACCCAAACCCACACTCATGAATAAAACCCTGTGACAGACTTTCATCCCATTTTTCACTTCATATGAACCGAAGGGGAATGTCATTGTTTTGCTGTTGGGTTGGAAGAAGGTATCACTGTGTCTTTTCTTATTTATTTATTTTCGGAAGTGCACGAGGAAAGGAACTCTGTCCTTCCCCTAAAAAACCTCTTGATGTTAACAAGGGGAACCTTCTCAAGCCTTGCACTCAGTTTTAACCAAACCCAAACCCAGGCTGTGACTTACAGCCCCTTGCATGCCTAAGTGGGAAGCTGCCCCAGCACTGCTCCAGGCATGTAATATGCTGCAATATTACATGTTCCTGCATGGGTTTGGTAGCATGTCTTCCAAGAGACACTCAAGGACGAGGCTCTGTCCCTCACCTGGAAGGCTCCTGTTCCCTCTGGTCACTGCTTGTCCAGGCACAATGTTCCTGCTGGAGAAGTGCATGGAGAGACCTCCTCCTGCCTCACTCCCTCGGGAGGAAGGAGAGCCGAGTGTGACTTTGTCCCTTCTCCTGGGGCTGGAGCAGGAACTGTTGCCTGGGTGTGGAGTCGGGGCAGGAAGGGCCCCAGATCCTGGGGGATGCTCGGTGAGTAGCTGGGAAGGGAGAGGAGGCTCCAGTGGGGAGCAGTGCCAGGCCCACGTCCTGCCCAGGACACGGCTCAGGTGGGGCTCGTCTGCGGCCACGGTGAGGACGGACCCCAAACCTGTAACAAACACCCCAAAGCAAAGCAGTTCCACCACCAAAACCACACTGGGAACCTACAAATACCCGGGTTGGTGACCTGAGGACCAAATTATTGTCGTTCTTGTGCCTTTTCTCCCTTGCAGAGGAACCAAAGGCAAGGACATCAACACCATCAAGTCCCTGCGAGTCCTGCGGGTCCTCAGGCCTCTGAAAACCATCAAGAGGCTGCCAAAGCTAAAGGTTAGAAAACAACCCCCAATTTTTCCTTCTCTGGAGCTTTGTGAGTGATCTGAGTAGAAGCCTATGGACCCAACCCAAGTTATTTCTGCTCCTTTGATTTTGTTGCAATTAATCCCTTTGCCAGATGGGTAAAAATAGCTGTGCAGATGTTTAGCAAATGTCAAACACTTTGTTTCTGTTGCAAACATCGTGGGCCATGTGATGAATTGTTGTGGACCCACGTGAAAATAAAACTCCTAAAAAAAGAAAAGAAATTAAAAAAAAACCCCCCACCCTCAAGTAAATTAATTTACAGCTCACAAGTGGGATGCTCTTAGAAATGATACAGGAGAAAATGGGGGTTGGAATGTTTGGCTTTCCCTGGAGAGTTTAATGTGAATATTGCAAGATTTTCCACGGGCTGTCAAAAGAGAAATGTCATTGCTCTGTGAGGAGTTTTAATCTGTTCATCTTTCTGGTAAATAATCCATAGTGCAGGGTTTTAGAGCTGTACCTTTTCACCTCTCCAACACTAAGCTACAAATTAAAATAAACGTAGTGACCCGTGGTTACTCATTCAACGCCATTTCACCAACCCTTTGAGGTACAGCCACTCCCTGGAAGCAGAGAAAGGAAGGAGTTAACAAAATTCAATAATTTCTGAGGTTTGGGAAGTCTTGAATACCTGCTGAATATTCTGTGAGATGTGGGGGAAGAGCAGTGGGTGCTTTTGTCTGACAGTTCCTGATTTCACATCACAATGAGGGTCAGCTGTTCTATAGGTTTGCTTTTATCCTTGCTCACTATTCAGGCTGAAATAATTCTGATTTTATGCATACTAAATGTCTCTGAAAAGATAAGGAACATTCATGTTGGACAATGCAGAAAAAGGTCTTCATTTGGTTAGAAATTTAAAATGCAAAGCTCTGAGGTAAAAACCAAAATAGTCAGCAGTAGCTCAGTCCTCCAGCAGGACACTGAACACTTGATTTTTGTTGATTTCTGTCTGATTTTCAAACAGGGTGGTTTTCTAATTTCAAAAGAAATACTCAGAAATCTTTATGTGAAGCAGAAGTTGTGTTTATCTGTTTTTTTAAGTGAACTTGGGTCCATTTTGGGCCTCTCACTGTGAAGACATCAAGGGGCTGAAGCTCGATGATCTTAAGAGACCTTCTCCAACCTAAACAATTCTAGGATTAAATTATTCAAAATTATTTCAATTCTTTTTTTTTACTGGATGTGGTCTCGTGAGAAACAATCAGCAGGATCAATGGGCTGATCAGAGATATTCCCAGTGTTTTAATTCAGGGTTTCTGAGTTGCTTCAGGAGTGTAACTTTGGGAATTATTCCCTTCCATTCCTAGAAGCAGGAGCAGTATTGTACAAACCCTGAGCTTGGGCACTAAGACCACTCCATTTCTATGATTAGGACCAACTTCTCCTACTAAAATCAAACTGCAGGTTACTTGTAACAGTGCAGCAGGGACTAATAACCAAGTAATAAATGTGTTTGAGTTCTTTGCAGGGAGTTCAGAAGTGACATGTGCTGACTGGGTTAGTCACACTTAATTTTGAGAGACAGTCCTTTAGAAAAATATTATTTAAAGCATTTGGTTTGTATCTGGTATATTTTCCTTGTTATTCAGGTAGTTTTTACCTATCCAGTACATGAGTAAAATAAACACAAGTACAATTTTCATTTCATAATTGGCCATGGGAATGTTTGTTTAGGACAAATACTGATCTCAACAAGCTGTGATTGTCTTTATAAATTTTATGGGCAAGCCCAGAAAATTCAGTGGCACAGCCAAACTTGCCAAGAAAGCAGGAGCTAAAGGAAGCTGGAGTTATTGTTTGGTCAAACCCTTGGTGGGCAATTTCCATGAACCCCCCCCTGGGTTGTGGGTTGGGTGATGAGACTTAGGTTGGATATTGGGAAGGAATTCTTCCCTGTGATAGAATTCCCAGAGAAGTTGTGGCTGCCCCATCCCTGGAAGGGTTCAAGGCCAGGTTGGGTTTGGAACCACCTGGGCTAGTGGAAGGTGTCCCTGCCCATGGCAGGGGGTGGCACTGGGTGATCTTTAAGGTCCCTTCCAACCCAAGCCAGTGATTCCACGAGTGTATGAAGTGTGCTCAGATGGATGCCAAGCTGCTGGATCCACTTTTCCTCTCTCCCAAGCCCTTGACCTGGTTCTCCTCCCTCCCAGGCTGTCTTTGACTGTGTGGTGAACTCCCTGAAGAACGTCCTCAACATCCTCATCGTTTACATGCTCTTCATGTTCATTTTTGCCGTCATTGCCGTGCAGCTCTTCAAGGGCAGATTCTTCTACTGCACTGACGAGTCCAAGGAGCTGGAGAAGGACTGCAGGTACAGCTGGGGGCAGGGCCAGGGTGGGCAGCAACTTTCCTCCTCCAGCAGCAGCTCCCCAGGTTGTCCCAGAGCTGAATCAGCTGCTGAGCACGAAGAGCCTCCTCTAAGTGAGAGCAACACCAGCACAGTTACCCTAGAGGTGAATTCTCCTTTTCCTTCTTTAATAGCTGTGTCATTCCTGGCTCTGATCCAGCAAATGCTTCCCCAAATGCTTAAGGATGCAGGGGAGTCACCTTCCTTCCCAGGGAGGTCTAGGGGTGGTTTTTAAATCCAGGGGGTTTGAGGGGTTGGAGGGTTTTTGACAGTGTGACTCCTCTTTCTGCCTGTTGCCTCGATCCTTAGAACTCCTAGGAACTGGAAAAACATAATGACTAAATAATCAGAAGCTTAGGAAGTCAAAGAGCTCCTAATTAGTGAGAAAAGGGATTGAACATCTTAAAAGCCCTGTCATGTCTTGCCCTTCCAGCAGGCTCAAGGTGTGTTACCTCAGTGTGCATCTTCCTCATTTGCCTTTTTTCTTGGCACCCAAAGCACATCCTCAGCACCATCCAGCTCTGCCCATCCCTCTCCTGCTGCCTTGTGCATGCAGGGCATGTCCCTGGTGGGATCCTGGCAGTCACAGGGGCTGTCACTTCCTTGGAATGATGTAAATATATTTGGAATGATATAAATATATTATAGAAAGAAAGTGAAATTACACAGAAGCGTAGGTTGGAGGGGAGCTCTCCAGATGCCAGGTCCCTTGGCCCCTAAAACAAGACCCCTTTAGGGTTTAGTTCCAACCCTGAAATAGGAACCAGAGCCCTTTCCCCATCAAGCAGCCCAGTTTTCTGTGGGGTCACACGATTTGGGGACCAGCTGTTAATTGCTGGCTTTGCCTAATGAATGATTGCCCTGATTACAATTTCTTTTATTTTGAGACCTCAGATCCAGTTCCTGTGGCTGAAAATGGCTCAGAAATTGGCCTTGACTTCTGTCCCAAGCCTAGGGGGGCTGCCCCTTTGTCTTTAATCCCTGTGCCACCCACTGGGGCTTCTCGATGCTCCTCAGTGACTCCCAAGAAAGGGCTGGTTTGGTTTAATTCCCTCATTTGCTCTGAATCTCTCTTTTTCTTAGGGGTCAGTACCTCGATTATGAAAAGAATGAGGTGGAGGCCCAGCCCAGGGAATGGAAAAAATATGAGTTCCACTATGACAACGTGCTCTGGGCTCTGCTCACGCTCTTCACCGTGTCCACAGGGGAAGGGTGGCCCACGTGAGTACCCGGGGCTGGCTGGGGCAGGGACTGGGGAGGTGAAGGCACCTTCCCACAGCTCTGAGGGGCTTGGAAATGGGAAATGAGAAGAGGCTTTTCTCAGCTAAGCTTTTCTTTCCTTTGTGTGGTCACTGGGTGAATCAGCATTGGGTGAATCTGTGTTTTTCTCGCTGTTCTCCTGACTCTCAGGCAGTTTTCAGTGCTTGCTTCAGGCTTTTGGACTTGCCCACCTTTCTCAGGTGGAAAGCTGCTCATGGAAATGTAAGAAAATGAGGGGGAAAAACTATTGTGACCTGTGCTGAGAGTATGACAGCCCCCAAATGATATTTACTGCTCAGCATGTGACTTTATTTTGGCACACTTTGCTGCTGGGACACGTGGAGTGATCAGGGTTTCCCTGTCCTCCACGTTCAACTATTTCATAAAATATCCCTGTGGGTCCCTTCCAACTCAGCATATTCTGTGGAAATAAAGAATAAACCAGCACCAGTCTCCCTTTTCCAGTCCCTCACTGTGTTCCCTTCCTCAGACATCATCAATACCTCTCTTTGCCCACTCTTCCTTCACCCCTGTTGACCAGAGAAGGGAAGGCAGATCCCCCTGGATCCTCTGCCCTTGGCCAGGGGGGATCAGTGGATCTGTACTTAGCAAATCATCATTCTGCAGAATGGTGACACCAGGAAGGGTTTCCTACAAAAATATCCTCAAGGAAAACGCCTTCCCAGCCATAAAGATGGGAAGGGGTTTGACCTGAGCATATGTGGACAACCCTCCACGTTGAGTGAAGGCCAGTGAGTGACCATGAAGTGCTTCACAGTGATTGCTTTGGTTTTCACGGGGTGAAACCAGGAAGGGTTTCCTGTCAAAATATCCTCAAGGAAAACGCCTTCCCAGCCATGAAGATGGGAAGGGGTTTGACCTGAGCATATGTGGACACCCTCCACGTTGAGTGAAGGCCAGTGAGTGACCATGAGGTGCTTCACAGTGATTGCTTTGGTTTTCACGGGGTGAAACCAGGAAGGGTTTCCTGTCAAAATATCCTCAAGGAAAACTCCTTCCCAGCCATATAGTTGGGAAGAGGTTTGACCTGAGCATATGTGGACAAACCCTCCATGTTGAGTGAAGGCCAGTGAGTGACTTTGAGGTGCTTCACAGTGATTTTTGGTGACTTTTCTCCTCTCTCTGCCCTTGATTGCAGCGTGTTGAAGCACTCGGTGGACGCCACCTACGAGGAGCAGGGTCCCAGCCCTGGCTACAGGATGGAAATGTCCATCTTTTACGTGGTGTATTTTGTTGTCTTCCCTTTTTTCTTTGTGAACATCTTTGTGGCTTTAATCATCATCACCTTCCAAGAGCAAGGAGATAAAGTGATGTCAGAGTGCAGCCTCGAGAAAAACGAGGTACCCCCGTCTTCGGAACGCACAGTTGGCACCTGGGGGGCTCAGAGCAGCAGTGGGAGCCCCCTCCTTCCTCCTTCTTGTGCCATGGGGGGGTGGAGAGCAGTGGTTATCTGAGGGTTTGTGCTGTGGAGACCAAACACACGACTGCCTGTCAGATTTTGCCCAGAAACAAAGCCAGGGAAAGCCCCCGAGTGACCACTGTCAGGTGTCCCCTTGGGCCACACCTCTGCTGCAAAGAGAACATGGACCTGCACTGGCACAGGTTGCCCAGAGAAGCTGTGGCTGCCCCTGGATCCCTGGAAGTGTCCAAGGCCAGGNGTGGGTGTGAAAGGAGACAAATCTGTGGCCTTTTAGAAACCAAACTGCAACTGTTTTGGCTCCCCAGAGAAAGCTCCTCTCCCCAGGTTGGCTTTGGGCCTGGCTGAGATGATTTCCCCCAAAAGTAGGTGCCTTGAGAAGAGTGTAAGACCAAGGCAAGACCCTGTGAGGCTTTTCTTGAAATCTCCAGCAAATACCATCATTTTCAGCTCAGGAAATGTCCTGAGTTGGACATGTTTTTAATTTAGTTAGTGGCATCTGTGTATCTTCCTTGGATGTATCCAGTTTCCTTCTGAACCCAAGCAGATTTTCAGCATCTGCAACATCCTTTGTCTGGGGTCCCACAGCCTCAACGACCTGTTGTGCAAAGAACCATCTCTTTTCATGGATTTTGAAACTGGACCCTGATTTTTGATGAAAAGAGATGATTTTTTTATTCAATTATTAATTAGTTCCTTGTTTGTCCATGTGACCAAAAAGTCCAAAATAAAGCAGAATATTTAGGGATGCTTCACCCATGTTATTTTTCAACTGACCAGAAAGTATTTTTGCAGTGATATAAGGCTTTGAAAATGGGAAAATTAAGAGAAAATCCTCTAGAATCAAAACTTGCTGTGGGTAGAAACCAATTTTTAATGCAGTTTTATATTCCTAATAACGTGAACAGAAATAACCAACAAAGGGGGTTTGTGAGAGATCACCCAGAGCTATTTGGTGGTTAATTCATTGGTTGGGCTCAGTCTACATTTCATGAAATGTTCTGAGCTGTGCAAGTGTCAAAACATACCTGAGTTTCACAATAACTTTTTAAACCCACAGATAACATCTTCACTTTAGATAACATCCCCTTGTTTCTACAGTTACCCATCAGGAGGAATTCAGTGTTTTCTGAAGTGAACCCGTGGATTTAAAACCACTTAGGGAAGGGACTGGGACCTACCAGGAGCTGGGCTCTGATGGAAGGTGGTCTCCTAGGACTGCAGGGGTGTTGGGGGTTTAATATTCCAGCAACATTTATCATGATTTGGGGATTCTGTGCTGGATTTTACAGGAACAGTCACTTAGAAATACCCCCCTCTGAATTCTCTGCTCGCTCTCCCAACCATATCCCGAGGGATGGAGACTCCCAGCCCTTTTTCCATCATTTTTCACCCCACTTCTGTTTTGTAGAGGGCCTGCATAGACTTTGCCATAAGTGCCAAGCCCCTGACCCGGTACATGCCCCAGAACAAGCAATCCTTCCAGTACAAGATGTGGAAATTCGTGGTGTCCCCTCCCTTCGAGTATTTTATCATGGTCATGATCGCCCTCAACACCATCGTCCTCATGATGAAGGTCAGTGGGATCTTACTGAATCCTGGGCAGGGTTTGGGGGCTGACTGTGGTGTTGGAGGGAGAGGATTTGGACTCTTGACCTGGGAGCTGGGGGAGATCATCAGGAGCAACCACCGCTCCTCAGATTCTTGGTGGGATTCCTTTGGTCTCCCAAGGGAGGTGGTTCAGCTGTGATGGGATCCTGGGAATGTTCCCCTGCACGGTGTTGGTTTGGCTCGTAGCCCCTCCAGTGGGGTGGGAACTGGGCTCTGCAGGTCCTGAGCTCCAGCTCAGCCTGGGCTTCCTGCTGCAGAGCAGGGCCACGTCTTGCTCAAAATCCAGTCGTGCCAAGGAAATTCCAACTGAAAGAGAAGAGATTTAGATGGGATATTGGGAAGAAACTCTTCCCTTTGAAGGTGAGGAGGGGTTGAGATGGAATTCCCCAAGAAGCTGCGGCTGCCCCATCCCTGGAAGTGTCCAAGGCCAGGTTGGACAGGGCTTGGAGCAACCTGGGCTAGTGGGAGGTGTCCCTGTCCATGGCAGGGGGCAGACTGAGATGGACTTTAAGGTCCCTTCCAACCCAAACCATTGTTATTCTATGAAATGGCTCAATTTTGCAACAGCCTCAGAACTCTGGGATGTGATCCCCAGTGCTCAGGAGGGAGATGTGGGTGGAGGCACATTGTGGATGATGTCCCCTCCTCTCCCTTGCCTATCTTAGAGTATCTTCACAGTCATGGGGTCACCTTATTCTTAGGGTCCTCTGGAATGACCCACAGTGCTGCACTTGTCCTCTGGTTTTGAAAATGCTCTTCCTCCCTCCTGGCCCATGTTGTGCTTACAGGGGGATGTCCACCAGCAGCTCCAGTGTTGGGGATATCTCCAGCTGGGACAGTATGTAGGGAGGAGTGTCCTTCTGGAGGGACATAAATAACTTTTTGTAACCCCAAATCTTACTAGAAGTGAGCTCAAAATCCAACACTAAAACAAGCAGGAGTTTTGCAGTCGGGCAAGTCAGCTGGGAAAGGATTTATTCTGTACATGATCTTCTGGTAACAGCTTTTCTTCCGTCCTGCTTTAGTTCTATGATGCTCCAGAAGCATATGAAGAAATGCTGAAATGCCTGAATATTGTGTTTACATCCATGTTTTCGATGGAATGTGTGCTGAAGATCATTGCCTTTGGTGTGCTGGTACGTGCCTTCCTCCCTCACCTTCCCCTGCTTCCCCTCTCCACGGAACGCTCCGCTCGTATTTCGTGACGCGCATTTAAAAACAAGCAAGAAAAAAAAAACCAAAAAAAGGGAAGAAAATAACCCCTGGATCCCTCTATCCCTCCCCTTGTGTTTTCATTTGGCAGAATTATTTCCGAGATGCCTGGAATGTCTTTGATTTTGTCACAGTGTTGGGAAGTATTACTGATATTTTAGTAACCGAGATCGCGGTAAGTCCCGTTCGCTCCATTCATAAACAAAGCTGGGCCCTGTCAAAGACATTGCACCTTCTCCCTACCAGCCTGAGTCCCTGGAGCTGCCTCTGGGATTTGGGATGTCCTTGGGTGACCTGGCAGCCTGTTTTTCCATCAGCTCTGCTCTTTCCAGGGAGCTGAGCACAGCTGCCTGCCCCAAAGGCTCTTGTGAAAGGCTCTGATGAGAACGACAGTGCCGCTGCCTCTGCCAGGAAGCAGCTCTTTCTCGTTCAGCAAATCTGTCCCCGGGCCATTTTTTGCCTATTAATGGAAAAATCCTGTTGAATTTAATAGAGGGGAAAGCCCAAAAGGGCTCTGCTGTGTTATGGTGTGAGGTGCTCTGCAGGGCACACACCTCCCCTCGTGTCCCCTGGGGCTCCTGCCCGGCTGTGGGCAGGGGGAGGGTGAGAAGTGATGGGAATGGAGAGCCCACACAGGCTGGGTTGGGGAGTGTTTCTGTCACGTGCACAAATCTCTGTGGGGTCATTAAGAAACAATTAATTAAATAAACAGATTAAAATTAATAACCAAACAACTTTCCCATAGGATTTCTGGCCAGCCCTACAGGGACAGCTGTCTCCCTGCTAATGAGCCCAGTAGATCACACAACTTGCCATTAAATTATTAAATTCTAAAGGATTTTTCCAGAAGGGCAGCAAATATCTGACTCCAGCCATGACACCTTGACATTATCCAATTTATAAACTGCTCCTCTCCTCTCCCAGTGCATGTTGTATCTGTATGTGATGAATTTGAACTTTACCCATAACTTTTTTTCTCTCAGTCTCCTGGGATTTGCTGATAGATCTGTTTTGTGTGTGCTAAGAACTGTGCTCCCCAGGCTTCTTTACAGATGGTGGTGAAGACTGTATCACTGCTCCTAACAAAACACATTTTTACCTCCCCTTTGTACCAAAAACCACACAAACCCCCAAGTTTTACTCCCCATACAAGTGTTCATTTACCAGCTGCTGAATCCTCTCCTAGGCTTTGAATTACCTTTTGTTTTCAGTGCAGCCAGGTTTAAACTAATCAAAACAAACCCAAGGTCTGGGTGCCACCTCTCTGAGTGCTGGATGCTTCCACTCCCTCTGCCATGGGATGTTTTCTTGCCAAACTTTTGCTGTGGTTTGAAAACTTGTGCAAAGATTCATGAGTGAGCCAAAAACAGACACTGCCACTTCTCCTCCACCCTCCTTTGGCCACTTTTCCTGGGAGGAAGCAGCACAGGCAGCTCACACAGGGTGAGGAGCCTCTGCTCTCTCTGAGATTGGTGTCTTCTCCTTCAGCAAGGTGTCTCCTTCACAACACCAAGCCCATGTGCTGCTTCTTAAAACCCTCATTGTGAAGCTGTTTTGCAGCCAGTGGTGTTGCCCATTCCCTGCTCAGTTAACAGGCCACTGCCTCTCCCTCCAGCTCCCATGGGATGGCCTCAGGGAGGGTGTCTGGCATCTGGAAAGTTGGCTGTGGACTGATCAGGTTGGGCTGTGAGGTATCACTGGATTTGATGGCATCACCCCTCCCCTCCACAGGGCTTTCTCTGGTTTCCAGCATCGAAGGCAGCAACAATTTGGAGTGTGAATTAGCCCTAAAACCAGTCTAACTCCAATAGGGTCAAGCTCCCAAACACCTATATGCCTTTCCATTCTCCTCCCACGTGGAAAAGAAGAGGTTTTTGGGTTATGAATAGCCAGATCCTTTAAGTCAAACATTAGAGAGGACTTTCTTATGCAGGTTGACACCTTCCCCTGGCACTGTGAAGCTGATCACAAACATCTCTTTAATAGAAAAGCCCAGTACCACTCCAACCCCTGATCTCTTGGTCCTCTGTCTGTGTCTGCAGACCTGTTGGAGTTCTGCTCTCTCTAAATATTCCCCTTCTGCAGCAGCCAGGTGGGATCAGTCTCTTCTCCCAAGTACCACCTGACAGGACAAGAGGAAACAGCCTCAAGTTGCACCAGGGGAGGTTTAGGTTGGATATTAGGAACGATTTCTTCATGAGAAGAGTGGCCAGGCACTGGCACAGGCTGCCCAGGGCAGTGGTGGAGTCCTTATCCCTGGAGGGATTTAAAAGCTGTGTGGCACTTGGGGACATGTTTTAGAGGTGGCCTTGGCAGTGCTGGGGACTTGATGATCTCAGAGATCTTTTCCAACTTAAAAGCTTCTCTGATTCTGTGTAGCCATCCTGTCTCCTTCCCACAGGCTTTTCCCTGCAGACAGAGAGTGCCCAGGGGTCATTCCCCTGTCCCACCTTCTTGCTAGACTTGCTTTTCAACACTCCTTTCATCCAGCTCCTCTCTGAGGTCTCTCCAGCCCCAGCTGCAGCAGCACTGCCATCCCCACCAGCACCCCTTTCCACATCCAGCCCAGCCTCAGACAGGGACAACGGGCTGAGGGGTCAAAGGCCTCGTGCTGAGGAGGCTTAGTTTGCTTCAAGGTGACCCTGATGCACAGGTCTCTGCACCACTGCTTAGCTACCCCAGTGGTGCCCCAAAAATCACATTTCTGACAGAATTAACAGTGGCAGCAAATAATGGCAGCTGTCAGGAGGCCTCTCATGGAGCAGTTTGTGCTGCTTCAGCCAGTGCCACGGGGTGCAGGTGATCCTGTACCAGGGTCTCCACTGCCACCACGAGCCTTCCTGGCCTCCAGGCCAGGTTGGATGGGCCGTGTGGGAGTTGTCCCTGCTCATGGTAGGAGTGGAACAAGATGAGCTTTAAGGTCCCTTTTAACATAAACCATTCTGGGATTTTATGTTTCTCCCCTTTCCAGTCCTGAGGATGGAAAAACAGGCAGAAGGATCCAGCACTCTGCTGCTGTGCCATGTTGTTGGCTCCATGACAGGCTGCAGTTAGGGGGATTCTGACCCAAAACACAGCAGGGGTAACCCAAGGGGTCCCACACCTGCCTGGCAATGCCAGGACCCTTTTCTGCTGCCTGCAAAGTGACAGCAAAAATATATGTAAGGTATATTCTGGCAGAGCTACATTTTAAACCATTTCTGTAATATCTGTTAAACTATTAGTTAAATTTGTTTGTACCTAAACACAATTTAATACAATACATTAAAAATGTAGAAAAGGGCTGAAAAGCCTGAAGCAGTGATGAGAACATGGTCTTTGCAGACAGCGGGGACTGGTGGGTGCCTCATTCCCAGAGCACAGCCCTGGTGTGTGGCCTCCAACCTTTCATCCCAGGGCCTCTGCCCACCCTTTCTTTGTATTCCCAACCTCTTTATATTCCCAGGTAAGGCAGAACAGTAACTTAGGCTGGGGATGAG